GTCACATGAGATTTGATATTCATATCAAAGAAGTCATAAAAAAAACTAGATATTTTCTATTATATATTATTTTAAAAATATAATGAACAAGAAAGCACTTAAAACAATTTATTACGCATTATTCGATAGTATAGTAAACTATGGAATTATTGCCTGGGGAGGTAGTTATAAGAATGTTACAAAATTGTTAATAAAAATACAAGATAAATTAATTAATCATTTATGGGATAAAAACGAGAGAACACCCGTACTGGGTATTAAAAAGAAATTTATTTCTGAGTCACTATGTTATCATTATTCCAATTGTAGAGAGGTATTTAATGAATATAAAGGTAAGGCTAGAGCTAAACCGTTACAGTTACCAAAGATTAATAAAAATATATCTTACAAAGACTCGAAATATATAGCAATTAAATACTACAATATGTTACCGCTGAGTCTAAAGTTGTTAAATATTAAAAATAAAGCAAGCAAAAAGAAAATAACTGAGTGGATTGTAGACACTAATATTTAAAAACACTATGTTTTCTCTTGTTTTTCAATTATAAATGACATTTGTTATTATTAGATTACTACTTAATTATAATAAACTAATATTACCAGGCCTATGTACAGGTGTTTTCTAACACCTCTATAGGTGCATACTTTGTATGTAATAAGTGCTTTGTATCCTGGAATAAATAAATAAATAAATAAATTTAATTTAATGCAAAAAAAAAAAAAATTTCATGTTACTAGACCTTATGTACATATATGAACAATTTGGTTTCGTCCCATATAAGTACTTACACAGGCGTTCCGTCAGTTTTGTTTTTTTTTTTTTTTTTTTTAAAGAAAATTAAAAGTTTAACTTCTGTGCTAGTCAAAAAGTTAGTGAAAATGTGCTATCCTGACCCTTTTTTGTAGAGCGAATGTGATCCTCACTTCTGCCGTAAAGTGAATAGAACACAGACATTATCGCTCCACTCTAGCAATTCACTACACTGATGAGTATTTATTTTTCTCAATACTAAACAATGCATTAAATGCACCCATAAATACAAGATGACCACCACATTCGATCAATATCAGCTCATTCGTATACACTCATTTTCAATTTTTTCCACAATCTGCCATTTCCTGCAAAGAATTGAATGCATCTATGTTTTTGTTTTTGTAAATTCGTAGTTACATTTCTGTGTTTCTTTATTTTATATGACAATTTCGAGAATAATACAATAAACATTTTTCAAATAATTTAATTGTTGCTAAATGCATTAACTTCAGTGCTCAACCGTATATGAATTTACCGTAAATATTCGCATATGTTAGCTTAACTGTATATTTTAAAAACATATTTACGGCTATATAAAATTTCTATGCATGCTTGCGTGTATATAATGCCTCACTATACAAATGTATGTATATATTGTATATATATAATATGTATGTATGTATATATGATAAATATGAACACACAGATAATTTGATTGTATAATTGCTCGTAACAATTTTTCTTAAACATTTTCAACATTTCGCATTTCCAAGCGACTAAGTTTCAGTTCTCTAACACATCTATCTGCTCATCGATTTTATTTATGTATATATATATATATATGTATATGTATGTATATGTGTGACATATGTGTATATATATGTTTAGATTTTCGCTTTATATGCTTCTTATAATATAATAAGTTTTCGCATGCAAAATTATATGAGAATTTGTTGCTGTGTTATCAATGTTATATCTAATAAGTATGTGTATTTATTTGAGTGCGTTTATACACACTAATCAATACAAATAAATGCAGATTTGGCTTAGCATTTGACAAGCTTCGCAGCTTAGTCGGCTTAAACTAGATACACAGATAAGTCTATATATGCGGGTGTATGTCTACCCGGCAGTCAAACATCTAACTAGTTAGTAAAATACTAGTTTTTAACTGGATTTTTCTGATTGAAATTGAATTAATGCGTAAATTATCAGATTTATACCACTTTTTGGGAAGTTGGTTCAGAGAAGGCGCTTGGATTAGTCAGCATTTTTATGTACAAACATGGATGGGTTCAACATAATTTAGTTTAAAATTGTTTGTGTGGTTATAAATTTAATGAGCACGTCAACTATCTGTTTTGAACTGATTTAAAACTAATGTATTTTTGACCAAAATTTGAGAATTGGAAACCTGCCGCTTTTTTTATCTAAAAAATACTAGTTTCGGTTACGGAACATGTTGTTGTTTTTGTTTTCGCAGAAAACAGTACCCAAATAGTTTTGAGCAGGGCTACTGTATTAACAGTTCTTGATCGTATTTAATTTTGGGTCGTATTCCGTTTTCGTAGACCCGACTGTCATGAGAGAGTTATTGAAAATATTGTTGTACAACTTGTATGTTGCTTGTGTGTCGACTGAATAGTTGCACTTGCCATTAAAACTCGTCCTCTTATATCTATCAACTAGTTGATTTCACTACAGGATATTTCTATACTCGTTGTTGTTGTTGTTGAACACAATTGCGTTTAATATTTGAATACTCTACTTAATGTGAACATATGTATGTATGTATATATGGGTGTACTGTCATTTAAGCGCATAATCCATCTTGCATGTAAATATAATAGAGCTATGGACACACAAATATATACCATATATAAAGTTTATATATTGAAGTATATACTATATATGTTTATATATATACTATATATACAAGAATGTATGTCTGTATGTATTCCCAAATATTCAATTTGAACAAATCAATTCTGCAACAAGCGTTTGTTATGTAAAGCACACGCACACACACGCGCGACGACAGAATGATTACCTTTAACTGTGAGCAAATACAAATAGCTTTACAAAGCGACGACACGCGCTTGTGTATGTGCAATTTGCAGTAGATTCAATTTTCCGTAATACACTTTATACAATATTCAATTAACAACATCGAGTGGCCAAATACAGTTACCACTTTGCCGCTGTTGACGCCATTACTACTTCAATACTCGAAATGACTACATTAACCAGTTATATTTGTCTGTATGTGAGAGTGTAATTGCATATGTTTATTTGTGAAATATGGCAATTACACAACCATTTAATCGCTGGTGTAATATTTAAACCGGTCTGTGGGAAGTCAATAAGCATTAAGTAGAACTTTATAAGCCAGCTTATTTTCCTAGTGCCATGTTAAGCATCTGCTGATATTGTTGATAATAAAATTTATTTGCTTAGCTTTGTGATATTTTCACAACTCACTTTATCTCGAAAGCATTATTACTTATGCGGCTTTAACGAACTCTTAGCACACAGCATTTTAATATCGATTATGTATTAAAAATGGCCGTGCATAAGCATTTGGTTTAACTATATTTTATGTAACAGAAAGAGAAATTTCAAATTGCAAAAAAGCAGGTCAAATCTGTAACTAAATAGCCTGAACACTTGTAATTTGAGCAAAAAATGTTGTTGTTATTTAACAAAAATATAACATTGCAAAAAATTTATGGTGAGCATTTTTGGAGTAACAAATTTTCATAAAAATTCAACAGACCGCTTCCTGCTCAGAAATTCACCAAAGGGACTGAAGGCCATCCCAGCCTTGTGGAAGCTGATTATACAGATTTGTACTAGCATACGTGAAAATGTTTCTTTTTTGTCAGTCTGGGTTAAATTTGATCAGATGTATAAATTTGCATACTGTATAGCAGCACGGAAAAAAAATGTAGAAAGTTTTAAGTCAACCGCATCCAAAAGTCTCTCGTAATATTAGCAGTGATTTTAAAAAATTTGTCTAATATCTTCGAGTATTTTATGCAAGTTAAACATGATTTTGGCGCTTGTTTACAAAAAAGCATGGAAAATGTTCATCTCTGAACATAGCACAGGGAAGAGACTTCATAAAACTTTGAGCTTATAAAGATTTTTTAAACATTTTTTACAGCATTTTTGTTCTTTTTCAAACATATAATACTTTTTGTGTAAATATATAAATAATAATATGTAATAATAAAGTAAAATCATTCAAATGATAATCCCTAAGGAAATAATTCACTATTAAATAATGGGAATTTTCAGAAATACATTCTTTCGCTGCTAACGATAGATATTAACGCTCATATCAAATATTTATCACAGAAATATTTTTCAGCAGCTCAAAATCAAATCTCACACATCTCGTTTCAGAATAATTATTATGTAAAACTAGTTTGTGGCAGTCCGGGTCATATTTTATCAGATGGTATTTCAGTACAGGCAATGGCATTATTTGACTTGTTTAACACACTTACATATATTCACATAAGTATTCTTACTTATATCAAATATTTGGTTTGTATGCGCTTATATAATAATATCTGTATATAATTTTTAAAATTTAGTGCACATATACACGCTTAACTAATTTATATATATGTGTAATATATAATACAGTTTCACTTATTCTAGTTAACTACTTAAATGAAAGAGCGCTAGCTTTCTCATTACCACTACAATCACGTATGCGTATATGTATGTATGCATAAAGAATTTACTCATAAGTAATATTTAAATAGCGGTATATTTGTAAGTGTGTAAATATATATTTGTATGGTTGTAAATATGCCTCTACACAATTTCCCTCGCCACAATTGCGTTGCCATCGATAAATTACTATAAACAATTGCAGGGATTTTAGCAACCGAAACAAGCTGCAAACACACACACACACATACCTATGCACACACACGTATGCAAGTGCGGTAAGCGTGTAAATATTGAACGCAGTAAATTTGCATTTTCATACTAAGTACACTGCGGTGCAGTGTACTGGCAGCGTGATTATATATATGTATATTAATTAGTAAATTTGTTTGTGTTTGTGTGTGTTGAAGCCTGTTTTAAGTACCAGTATTATTGTTGTTGTTGTTGTTGTTAACATATTCTTTTATTGTAACGGGCATTAAATGGGCGCATTACACCGTAATGTAATTACTTATAAATAAATTATAACATTTTGTTTTGGTTTTTATTGTTGCTTTTTAAAAATTTTTTTCTTTTTGTTTTTGTTCTGGTTTTGGTTTATTTTGCCGTGTTTGCCTTACTTATTTTCATGTTAACCTCTTTATCGACGCTGCAAATGCATTCTTTCATTAACATAAATCCGCCTGTGAGTGTTGTTAATTCACACCCACTTAATACAAATTGCAGTTCAGCTGTTGACGCTTGCCACATGCCACATGGCGCACGCTACAATGCCGACTTCATAATTCATCAAACGTGGCATTGGCAATCGACCGCTCAACTTGCAGCATTTAATTTGCAATCGCACACACAACACACTACCCCATCCCTCTTTAACTGTTGCTTTTGTTGGCTGACATTTTAAAACCCGTTATATTATATGACTGTATATATGTATGTATGTCTGTTTGTATTTAATAATTCGATTTCATGCCGCAATTTGACATAAAATTTCCCATTCAAATGGAAAACGTTTCCAATTTTAACCAACAACAATAACACAACAACTCAATCCGCAATTTATAACATAATTTTTATTATTTTGCGCGTTTTTTTTTTTGTTGTTACAATCGTTTCACACTTTAATTCGGCAGCTTTCCGTAGGCCATTTAAATTGCATTAAGCATGATTGTGGTAATTGGCATATTTTTTGCATTTAAAGCTCTCAGCGTTCATAACGATTGTCGCCGTTATCTTCAACTGCACACCTTACACACACACACATACACACGTATACTCGTTTTTAATTGCAACCGCTGCGAGTGCCGCGTTATTGCCTTAAATTGCCAACAGCTTGTTTAAATTCTTTATTGATCGGCGTTGCATTGCGGTGATTGTTTTACTAAAGATGCAGCGAACTGTGTTGCCAGTAAATAAATAAATGAATAAACAATGAGTTAAAACCACAATAAAAGAATAAAAAATGTTAACTACGGCTGCATCGAAGCTGTAATACCCTTCACAAATACAAAAGATTCCCGACAACTTTGATCGGTCAGCTTCTATGGGATATATGCTAGAGTGACTCGATATAAACAACAATTCTTCGGAGATTGCATCGTTGCACAGTGCATACAATCATTTTATTCCGATTGTTTTGTTTGTATGGCAGCTATATGCTATAGTCCGATATCGGCCATTTCGACAAATGAGCGGCTTCTTGGTGAGTAAAGGCTAGTTGCAAAATTTCAGAACGATATCTATAAAACATAGGGACTAATTCGTATATATACAAAAGGACGGACAGACGCTCATCATTTATATATACTATGTGTATACTTTAAAGATTCTCTACCGTTTCTTTTCGGGTGTTACAAACATGTGGCAAATTTAATATACCTTGTTCAGGGATAAAGAGCTATATATATTGGTTTTGATCGGACACCATTATACGATAGTGGTCCGATCTTAACAATTTTTTTTAAAGTTGTAGCGTTGTCATGTTAAATAATCTGTGCCAAAATCTGGCAAAATATTAAAGTCACTTTCACATGTAATTTCGTTTTCTGAAGAACGGTATTGAAAAATGGTACTAGTTTAAGTTTTGCGTCACCGACTTTCACCCACGTTACCACAATTTGAGCCTCGAAGTATTTCCATTGACAGCTTTTTTTCGTTACAAAAACCAAAATTTTGGAGAAATTTGAAAACTAGTCGTAATAAGGTCCCCATATTTCAAAAAAATTAATGTGTATTCAATTAACAAATATAAATGGTAATAATAAGAAAAATTGTTTAGGATTACTTTAGCCTACAAAAATCTTGAATTATATATCAAACGAACACAGTTATTTTTGCTGTTGTAGCGGTAATAAATAATAATAAATAAAATAATAAGCTAACAGTCAATTCATTGATGGATCCTTTTCGATTACCCGACTGTCGTGGGAATGAACGCAGTTATTGTTGTTGTTGTAGCGGCGGAAAACAGTCTGAAGTAGTTTCGAGGAATGATACCGAGTTGACAGCACTTGCCTGGATAAAAATCCAGGTCCGTTCCGGTTACTTAGACTCGACTGTTTTTTGGTAGCGAACACGGTCTTTCGTTGTGGTCAGTTCGTGTGTCATCGATATGGTGTTTTACTATATCACAGTACCCGATACTGGTATCACTTGAGTAGAAGGGCAATATGTGATTACATCGAAGTAATAATTAAGGAGTTCAATTTTGATTAGCACTATAACTATACAACAAAGTGTGTGTTTTTGTTTTTTTTTTTTTTAACATAAGAAAGTAGAGACAGGTTGCTGTCAAGTAAAATTTTTAATAATTTCGTTAATGCATATACGTATGTCCTGTTTCTCACTTTCTTAACCAGCCTTAGCCTTGTTCTATATCTGAAAAATCGAAGTCTCCGATATAATACATTGCAAAAACAAAAAATGTTAAAAAATAACATATGATAAACTAAATAAAAATTATTTAGGTTATTTATTAACACAACACAATTTCGAGTGTCATTCTGTTATAAAAACTGTCTTAATTTGTATTAAATATGCTTTAATGGATTAAGGACTGGTAAATCATATCATCTTTTTAGGCAATTTTGAGTTCTAATAACTAGGTCATTGACCTAAGCTGTGCACTGAGAATAACCAAATCTGGTCGAGAATGGCTTTGTACACATGAAACGACTCAGACTGCTTAAGACAGGCTAGGATAGTTATGAGTGGTAACTGTTCTCTTGCCATAGTAATCTCACAGTGCAACTGAAAACGTGTATATACCATGTTACACTTAAGAATCTGGCTCATTTTCTATTGCTATATCTCGCATTTGACCATATTTAATAGTTGGAAAAATATAAACAGGCTCAGTTATGGCATTACAACAACAGTAAATCAGTCATACAAACGATATTTGCTATGCCTAATTTAGCTCAAATTAAAGTGTGAATATAGTTCATTTTCACAAAAATTTCGCAAAAACAGCTGCATTATGTCATTTTACCATTAGCACCACTATTATATTATATATGTATATTACATGTACATACTCGTATGTATATAGTGTGTTACGGCGTGTAAGTGTAAGCCCGCAAATAGAATTAATAAACACATTTTATTGTTAATGCGCGTAATTGTCTGTGGATGAAGCGAATAAAACCCATTGGACCGTGGAGAATTAACAGTAAAATAACTGTGTTGCAATTTTATTGTTGCCATATGTATAAAAAAAAAATATGGTAGATAGTGGCTAACTCCAATTTGGCTAATTGCAGCTTAGGCACGTGCAACAACACACACTGTACACACGCGCACCTCTCACACACCTTAAAGAACGCCCAATTCACGGACACAACCACGCGCCAAACCATTTGTGTCCATGCATGTGTGTGTGTGTGGCAGTCTCGTAGCTACACATTTACAGCTTTAAAAGTTTGAATTTTGTGAAATTTTTCGGAAATTCAAAATTCCAGGACGCTAATGGCTTTTGCGGTGTTGTTGAGACCGACTGCGCCGCGCGCCTTCATGAGTGAGCCGTACACATAACTGTAAATGTGCATATCATCATAGACGCACATGCATATATGCAAATCTACGCAGCTACAAATACACGGCGACAGCGCACAACTTGATTTACATTCACTTAAGTCTCCGAACCGTGCGCGGCAGGACGATGGGCCGCGGCAGTGCGTTAAGAGACACGGCGCAGCGCAACAAGGCAAATGTCATAACGCGCCACTAGCAAACAAGTTAAAAAGCGCTTAGTGCTGGTGAATGCCTGGAACGCGTAGCCGGTGGCATTGGTTGGGTCCGGGTGGCCTTGGTGCCACAATGCAAATGTTTTACGCCACTTTGTGCTGCGTGTGGCGAGCCACCGGCGGCGGCAAATGGCGCGCAAATGCATACCCACAGCACGAGCTGCTTATACAACAACAACCGCCACAAAAGTGAGTAATATGTTGTAATAACAACTAGTGGTTGCACCAGCGCCAAGCGCCAAGCAGCAATAGCAGTAGCCGAGCCATCATTAGCAGTGCTCAGACGCGAAATGGCTCATTAAACAAATTTCGAATGGCAAATTTCGGTGCAAAAAATGCGTAGCATCTGATTTTGAAATTAATTGAAAGCGGCAAAAGAGGTTTCGGGACTTATTGCGTTATTTCAACAAAGTGTGAAAATGAAATTGTATAGTGCAAAACAAGGGTAATGCGAATAATATTTCAGTCAGACGAAAATTTAAGAATTTTCACATAGAAATATTGATATATATTCACAAATTTTAAAACCAGTATTACTTTCCCAAAAACGGAGGAAATAGCGAAGTTAGTTTGATACTAAATATATTCCAAATTTGTATACAAATGCATCTAAAATTTAATAAAATTAAACATCTCTAAGGGTGTTCTGAAAGCTATGACAGAGGATTCGGTGTAAGCTTAAAACAAAGCTTTAAGCCCGTTTTATCAAAAGTATATATTATATTATTAGTTGATACATAGAAAGCGAAAGCAAAAAGCAATCAAAATACAATATTTACATAAATTGTGCACATTTCAAACCAGATTCATTCCATGAAATGTACCAAACAGTTTCGTTAATAACGAAAAGAGCTTTTTGAGCTTTTTGAGCTTTCATTGTATGTGTAAGTCTGTTCAAAATAACTTTCATAATAATATCGCAGTAAAAATATTTGTTTTAATTCCAAAAGTGTGGCCTCTCTCTAAGTATGTATGTATAAAAATCGAAAATTTACTGAAAAGCAATATTTCTTTTGAATAACTGAAGAGAATTTTGCCTCAATAGCAAGATGAAAGCTTGAAGTAAACATATATGAAACTTTCCAGCACTTCTGATGAGTAAGGAGTTGGAAAATAGCATTAAAATTAAATTTGGTATAACTATTGACAGATGTTGGCTGCAGTTGTTGGCATTTATATGGAAATTATCAAGCGTTCCAACACACTATAGCACTATTTTTTTCACTTCAGAACACAATGTTTGAAACTCGTTCTTTTTCAATCGATACAACTGAACGTGGTAGAAATGGTTGAATTTAAAATGCTATTTGCCGATGAAATGGGGTTCTAAAATCACAAACCATGGATATGCCAGTAACCAAGCGATACAAATTTGGTAAATTCATCGAGTTTTAGTTGCATTTAAAACAAATTAATTCCAAAAATCCACTTTTTATATTGAAATTGTGTATTCTCAACGTTTTTAAAATAATCACCGAATGAGCTGCGAATGTCAAAAACATTCAACTTAAAATAGTTACACTTGCAACGATCACCGAATTGAGTTCTCACGTCGGATTGTAAGTGTCCTTGCTGTTGCAGACACCAATAATTCCCATACATATGTAGCATGCGACTGGAAATGAATTATCAACTGTGGCGTTTTCAATATAGAGCATAAAACTTGCAATGAAAACCTACGCACACAGACATTATATATGTATGCATGCATATATGTATGTTTGTATATTTGTATATATGCAATAAAGCACATTCGGTCAGTTGGCGGCATCGATCGAACGGCACAGGTTTGGCGGTTAAGCGCTTGGCAGCCACACAAATGCAAAAAAAAAGCAATACAGAGAGTACTGAGTCACCCTGTACGGCCGGTTTAACAAGTCCGTATTCTTTGCGCTTGTCCAACGGTTTGTTGGCCATTTGGTTTGCGCTTATTCACTGCTAATCCCTGGTGTATTGGACATTGTTATCCCCTTTTAAGCACATTGACGCCCGAAAGGATTTGCCATGCTCGTTGCTCGTTGCTCGCTGCTTTGTTCATTCACTTGGTCAACAGTGTCGTAGTCGGAAACCGACACAGGCGCAGAGCACCACACAGCTTCGACTGTGAAAGTGAATGATGTGCCTAATTTATCGCCCACCCAATCCGTTATGTATTCATGCACGTGAGCGTGTGTGTGTGTGTGTACAGTTGCAATTGGCCGCACGATGGTTTAGTGAGTGCAGACACTTATTTATGTGTGTGTGTGTTTGTGTTTTCGCTCGTTGTGCGTAGCGGTCCATTGGAGTGACTTAAATTATTGGTGCGGATTTTAATTGAGGTTTTTGCCATTTGCATTTATGTGTGTTGGGTTCCATGCCACAGCGCCGCTGCCACTGAATGCTGCCCTTAAAACTGCAAATGAAACTAATTTATCCAGCAAACTTTACGGGCAACTACAAAAACTGTACGTTGTTGTTGTTGTTTTGCTCTATCTTCTTCTACTTTGTGGCATTGCATTTTTTGTCCGTTTTTACGTTTTGCGTCAGGCAATTCGAGAAATGGAAAATTGAATGTATAATTACAACCGCAAAGTTATTATCATTTTCGCACCATCGCCGCAACTGATGAATTATTTCCTCAACCCGCACCCCACTGCTCCCCGCTGCGCTTTGCGTAACGCTTACAGCACCACCTCACGCCTCTATATTAACTATATGGCTACCTCATAGTTGGTTTTCGTAGATATGTTTGTCAATATCGTTCACTATCGCCCTCTTTTCCGCGTTGCTGCTGCACATCGCCACCCCTGCGTCGTCCTTGTTGACTTCCTTATCGCTTTCTGTCGCCTCTTGCACTTTGCCCACTGCCTGCGTCGCTTTCCCATTATCTTCATCGTTCACCTCTTTTTGTTCGGTTGCCTCTGTCGCTTCGCCTTTCGCCGTGTCCTAAGGATGCTTCGTATAATTGTTGAGTGGCATTTCGTTGACCATGGTGTGCGCCACCTCCTTGCCCCTGTCGTGTATGCCCTTGTCATGCGTTTCGTTTTTTTTCTTCTGCGTCTTCAACTATATAAAATAATTAACGAGAGATATATCGCTTTGTTCAATGATTTACACAGAGAAATTATATTTAATAGTTACTCGTCTTATTGTCTCTTCGAAATTCTGATGCGGCTCCACGCGTTTCATGGTGCTGCAGGCTTTAAATTTCTCGGCGGACTGGAAAAAACAATTATTGGGGAAAGAAGAAAGACATGAGTAAAGCGGAAAAATAATTTTAACGAATTATTGAAATATATATTTATTAATTAGTTCATGTAAGCTGCAGGCCTTGCACCCTTGTAGAACCAACATTCACAATGTCAAGCTCTAGCCAATGGAACCAAGTTCAAGCAAAAGAAACAGAGGCTATTACACCTTTGCTGAAGGCTTTTTCTCTTCTTTGTGGTGTGTTTCTTGAGGTTATTCGACAAAAGAGAGATACCGTCTTCTTGAGTCATTTCTATGATTAAAATTTCAGACGAAAGTTGCTACAAATGTTTGAGTGAAGCTGTGGTTATATTTTCCTTTCGAAGCTTAATTCAATTCGAGGTAAAAAAATACACAAACCTACGCCAGTAAGTTGTACACTCTTAAAATATTTGAGCAGACCTTGAATAAAGTAATTTTTCATCATCATTTTTGTTGTTAAGTGCTAATACGATCTGTTCCTTATTTATTTGACGATCAATCTTATCTATGCGTGCTCCTAACCAAAACAAGTAGATCCATATTGCTGAGAAACATTGTCTTGAATCAGACTGTTTAAGAGGCATACCTAGTGCGATAGCCTAAAAGCAGCGATTTTTGGGAATTCAAAAGCAAAATTACAGAATCAAAATGTTAAGTACACGATGGTAAATATTTTTCTATAACTCAAAAATCGCAATCTCCGACGGGGCTAAAAAAATGGTCCGCAACTTGCGGCCATCGCCAAGGATGAAACCTAAAACGCATTTTCACTAGAATTTATTGTCCTACGGTCGAAACTAAAAAAAAAAATCGACAAAATGGCGACGTTAAAAAAATGAATTTTCTCAACATTTTGCTTGCTTTTGGCTTGCCAAATCAACAAACTGGTAGATTATTATATAATCTATAAAAACTTTGGTTGTGGTCGGATTATTTGCCTTGGAGTAGTCGTTGCAGCATTTTCGAGAAAAATGCGTTTAACGATAAACCGATGTTAAATATAACCGTTAAACCGATAAACCGTTTTAATATTTTTGTATATTATTTTCAAACAATTTATTTTTTTTTATTTTTCGCTAGGTGTGCCCCTTAAGCTGGGGCCCAACAGATTGGAGCGGGATTTATATCTGGCCAAATAGGAATTATCTTGTGATTATTTTATGCTGTTAAAATAACCACAACAATAAAACTACCTTTAAAAATGGTACATTGTAACTAAAAAATTACTATCGGATTTGTTAAGGCATTGGACATTGATGACGTTGGCATCATAGTCAATGCCGGCAATGCTTTTTCGTCAAAACAGAATGACTATAATACAAAAAAAAACTGTTATATAAAATTGTAGTCGTCACAATTTAGTGATGCTGCAAACCACCTTAAAAAGATTTCATTATACACTACTACACTGCCGCTTATAATTACTACTCAAATGAAGTATTTTAACGCCAACTACTTTAAAGCCATTTAACACCAACAATAACACAAAAGAAAACTTAATAACCAAGTAATGAGATGAACTTTGTGTTCGCTCACTCGCCACTGGCACTGGCACTGCCACTGTATGGAAACTTTTTAAAGGAAAGAAAATCGACCGGACAAAAGATTAGCGGGAAACGCGATAAAAATAATAATCCAAACGACACCTGAAACAAAAACGCTTAACACAAGCAAACAACAACACCAACATAACCACTTCACGGCTCTCGACAATATACTCGCCCGCTTAGTGACTTGTCCAGCGAGCTGCCGACTCTGAAGCGCCACAGACGCCAGCTAAAATCCGCCTTTCAAATAACGATTGAAAAAAGTGGTAGAATAGAGGAAGCTGCAAACTAGTTAGTCAAAGGCGTGGGCGAAAACATGAGCCAAAGTAACATTTCCGCAGCAGACCACGTAATGAGCGAAATTCCACGGCATTTAAACACAACTTTTAAGCAACACCAACAACTCTTACTCACTCACTTCACTTCACTGTCGCTCCCTCTTTCTCTACACATCTCGCAATTCTTTTCACCTACAATCTTTTTTTAATAACTCCGAACCAGCACTTGCCTTGCGTTCATTTTGGCTTTTTGCAACAACCGGATGTCAGCGATGTGACTCCACAATACGACAATGAGAACGGCAATAACAAATATAGCAAAAGCAAATCAAATACAACAACAATACTAAATTGTATAAATGAAAATGAAAGGCGCTGGCAAAAAGACTACATAGCTCTCAGGAAACCGAGAAGGTGTAGCTTTAGAAATTAAATTGCTGCCTTTTACCGCCAAAAATGGTAACAGAGAGAGGCAGAAAAGAGCTACGAATGCTCGAAACAGACTCATGTCTCAATGCTTGAAGTCCAAGTCCGACTCGGTTGCCCGAAGTCAAAGCGTATTTTCCAGCACCTGAGTTCTCAGTTGAGGTAATTCACAAAAATTGACCACAAAACAAAAAACGCATGCAAAATAAGCAGAAAAAATATTAAATAAAAATTTAGTACAAACCGCAAAGAACGGAATACAAAATATCAGCGGACAACCACAAAGGCGCAAAAAAAGTACACGATTCACTTGCTGTGGGACCTAACGGGAAGTTATACAAATTTTTTTGTACATTTGTGTGTGTGTGTGTGTATGTGTATACACTTTTGGGAGGACATTGTGTCAAGCACAAATAAACACGTCCGCTGTGAAAAAGACAACAAGCAGAGCAACATTAGTAGTTGCAAGAGCCCAACAACAAGCGTCCATAAAAAAACGAAACCACAACAAAAAGCGAATTTCGTTTAAATATTAAATGAACAACTGGAAATAGTTAAAAAATACAAAAAGTAAGTGAATGGCTCACAAAAGCTCCTCAGAGATTAAGAAGTCAAAAATGACTGAAGCACAGAGCTTTTAGACTCAACCCTTTTTAGATGCGCATAGAAGAGAAAGTAGTATTTTTATATATTTTTTCGACAGTCTTTCTCTAGGTTTTTTAATGCTAACCACTCTGAAGGTTGGGCAAATTTTATTGTTACATTTAGGGTAAATTTTCAAAACGTAGCCTACGTTTAGGCTGATATTGAATTTAAAAATTCTCAAGTGAAATTTTGCTAAAAAAGGTTCTAACGGTGGGATCTGACCGCAGCTTCATATCAGCACATAATTTTCAGTCATTATTATGTAATATTTGGCAAACATTTTTTATTTCAAAAATAAATTTAGCAATACCTCGAATTAACTTAATACAATTTCACCGAAATCAAATACTGCACCAACATTAAACTACAATCCACATCTTAAATAATAATGAAAACAGTGGCAACAAATGGTTGAACATGGTTTACAAATCACAATATTGAAACAACACCAAAATGTGTGTAAAACTATACGAGTTGGAGGTGTTAAAGGAAACAAAAAGAAAACTGAAAACCAATACACACACGCAATTTCGGTCAAAAAAATGTAGGCGGACGAGCAGCCCAAAACAATGGAGAAAACCATAAAAGGCAAACACACCGAAAAAAGAGTAACCGCATAAATGTGCACGAGACCGCAATGGCAACAGCGCGACGTAAAGGTGCAAATGAACAAAATCCTCTGCATGCTCACACGGCGATCCAATTTGTGCCCCAACAATTCGAATATGGTTAGGACAGAAATGAAAATACCGGAAAGAGCAACATTGGATTGTGGCATATGCAAAAAGTAACGTAAATGAAAGAAGTAAACAACAAAGCGAAAAAACAAGGAAACTACATTAAGCTATCTACACCCTCACTAAACACCTGCACATGGTATTTGTGTCTAGCTATTATATAGTATATGCGCTCCAGCTCCCTCTCTTGTTTTGCTCAAGGCGATCAAAACACATCCGCAACTTGAGCAGCTGGAAAATAGTAGTTTCCCTCGTTTACCTGAAATTGTTGCAATTTAAAGTTTGAGCAATAAAAGTCATATGAAGTATGTTAGCGGGAGCTGAACACTCGCAAACACTCACTCACAAACTTAAGGAAGCCATCATCAACTACATAGATTAGAGTAACAATTGCTGTTGTTGTTCGCACGCAAACTTTGAAGAAGTGGCAATTACTTTTAATTGCCACGAAGCTACTTAACGAGTTAACTGTATGAGGGTTTGGCGAACTAATAAGAAAATTGTAACAATTCAAGTGAAGTGCAAATTAGGAGTATTATACTATTTAGAAATGAGAAAATATGTTTTATCTCAGCACAATTACGGATTAGAGACAATATTTACAAAAAATATATATGTCAAATCGAGTAAATCAAGTTAGTTGTTTGATAAGTTGACGTTGAAATATCAGTTGAAATCACGTTCTTATCCATTCAGCCTTCCCGGAGACCGGCTTTACTCTACCACCACCAGATGGCACATCGTATACTTCGAAAGCATCATTTTGGACTACAGCACTAGTCAACGTTGTCACTAAATTTCAAAGTGTTACCTTAAAAATCTTAATAGAGGAATGATAAGTAACTTATGTGAAGCCTAGGTTACGAACAAGAAAGATATAGTTAAAGATTACGACAGTTTCCTTCTACTACTTTTTTTGAGAGCATTTGACATTAGTTCATGACGTCATTAACGTATTTACTCTAAACAACTGATAGTTCGTTTCGTTTATAATGTTCTGTGTCGCAACTTTGGCTTTATCATTCTTGGTTACAACCGAATGGACATTTTAACTATAAAATAAATTGAACACTGTTTTTCTATATTTAAATGTGTATAATGCCAAATTGTAAACTGGATCTCATAGAATATTTTCCATTTTTCAAATATCCCATGAAGCATTTTAATAGAACATGTAATCTTAGGCGACCGTGTCGGAAATCTTTTTTTTTTTTTTTTGAAAGTTCAAACGAAAAGATTTTTACTAAGCCATCCCACGGTGAATTTTAAAGCTGAGATAGCCATGGAAGTAGGAGCTAATTCCAAATTAGATAAAATAACCTCTAAGCTTTATCTATCACATTAGTTATTCTCGTTGACAAAGGAAGCCATTAGTTTCGCTTATACATCCGATCTAGTGCAACTTTGTTTTGAAAGAAATGGTTATTCAGACTAACGACATCGAGAAGATAATGATATTTCGAGGAATCGTTAAATTAAATTTATATTTACGTAGCCTTAAATCTGCACAAATTATAGTATTTGCATTTGTAAAATCACATTCATCAAGAAAAACATACAAACGTTTTTGACTTACCTTCAATTGCATTTCTTCGTTCGGGTTGTTTTCTTCGGCACCTTGCTTCAGACCGCTGAGAAAGCGCGCAAATACCGTACGTCTTTTGTTCCGATTTCGTCCCTCTGGTTGGACGAGATAGATAAGAGTAAAAGTCAATAATACAGCTTCTCAAAAAGATAAATACAAACAATAGCAACAAAAAATAATTTCTAAATAAAACGTCATTTATGTTAATTACATAAATTAACCTTTTATAACCTAAACAGAGTGTATTGAGTTTGCCACGAAGTTTTCAACACCCAGAAGGAAACGTCGGAGACTCTACAAAATACTTGTATATATATAAATGACCAGCATGATGAGCTGAGTCGATTTAGCCATGTCCGTCTGTCTGTATATACGCAAACTAGTCCCTCAGTTTTTAAGATATCGATCTGAATTGCACACATCCAAGAAGCTGTTCATTTCAGATTACCATAGCATATAGTTGCCATACAAACTGAACCTTTTACGGAACCTTTTGTATTTGTGAAAGATATTATAACAATTTGCTTCGCTTCTACCGAAAGTTACGTATTTTCTTGTTTTAAACTGATTTTGTAAAAAAATTTTAAAAAATTTTAACTTTTAATAAAGATTGTTAAATTCACAGTATACTTTACTGCGATTAAATTCATCTTTAGAAAAAGATCCACTCATAAAATCAAAAAAAATTTTAAGTCCAGTTCATTGTTCTTAAATTCCTCACACGCAAACATTCAAGCGAATAGTCACATAGTTATTTCCATGGTTCACCTACCTGTTGCCGAGAAATCGTAGAAGAAATTCCGCCTGGCGCCCGGATAGCTGTGCTGCATGCCATTCAGATTAACCGCCGATTTCGAATCAATTGCACTTCTGGCCATGCGATTTGCCAAATCGTTTTGCGCAAAGCTGTAGATTTCATTCTCCTCACGATTGGAAAGGCAACTCGATGGCTGCAATCGGCCAAACACAAACCAGAAAAAGTGTTAGACGAAAAAAAAGACGCAACAAAAACCCAGAGAAAATAAATCAACAACATCATTTGATAAAGTGCATGCAATAAAAATGTGGAAAAAAAGTAAATTTGAGCAACATTCGGTATTGAGCAATGGCATACACGGCGTATACGTACCAAATATTTTCCAGGCACATACAATGGTTGGCTGTGACTTGTCGGCAGAGTTGATTGATTTGCGATATTGCCGCCAATAATACCAAATCCAACACCTACGCCGCCACCACCGCCCATCATTCCCGACATGACGCTGACACCCATACCGCCACCGCCACTGCTACTGCTGCCAGCCGCGCGCCGCGACAAAGTGTGACCGGTTGAAATGCGCACATGGCGCTCCTTCCACTTGGAAACGCGCACCTCCTCGATGGCGTCCAACACGTCCTCATACGGCATATTAATCTGTTTGCTGTAGTGCGCGGCAAGACCCTCCAAATAGCCGCGTTTGCCCTCCTGCAATAAGAGACACACAAGAAGCAGAGCAAATCGAATGAGAACGTGAAAAAATCTTCCAAAACCTCGAGAGCTGTATCAGAGAGTAATAGTAAATCGAAATGCAGCCAGCGTAGGTGCGCATCAATAAAAAGCGCCGCGTTGCAACGCTTTACAAGCGCATAAATTTCGATCGAAGAAACATGTGAAAGGCGCCTAGCGGCAGGTTAATAGTGCCAAAATTTACTAAAGTGCCAGCAATAAATACATCAGTTAAATAGTTTCCTAATTTATAGCTACGTACACCTACTGATGTAGATATCAAATCGATTCGCGCCCGCGCTAGCTACTAAGAAAACTTTACATCTAATGGTAATTGGTAAGGAGCCACCACTTCGCCGCAGACAAATGTAATAAACACTCTAACGTTACTACCTTTGCATAAATATGTGCACACCTGTGTCTATAACAAGAAATATTTAAATTTGTAATTATAAAATTCTAAGTTGTGACGAGTGGCGGTGATGAGTCATCATCGTCAGTGGCAAACTAAATACTTGCAGCGTTTGAGCCACTTGTGAGGCATTGCACTTGCTTCAAGTGTGTTGTTTTGTCTCAGCATCACACACACACACACATGCACATATACCTCTCAGACACACTACTTCATCCACCCAACCACTTGACATTGAACTGCTACATTGCCACGCCGCCTTTCCTTTTATACGCCGACCGCTGCCATATTTCAAATAAAAGAGTGTGATGCAAATCGCGGTGCGCAGTGTGTCTTTGCCACGCTATGCACTTTAGGACTCGTATACGCCAAGTCGCCGACAATTGTCTGCCCTGCACCTGCATATGAGTTTAAGTTTTGTTCTTGTACCTTTGTGAATTTCTTGAAGTGCAATTAGTTGAGACGCGCTCGAATAATCTGGCAACAAAATTCTTAAGCCGCCAGACAAATTGTCTGAAGCACATTATATACATATGTATGTATTTGTGGAATTAATATGTTTACATAAACACTTACATATGCACTTTAGTGCAAAGTCAAAAAGCATGATAATTTTAGTATAAGTTTTTAAGTATAGGTAGCTCGAGCTTTTTCTGTACATAGATACGAATATAAGATATTACATACTAAATAATAAATAATGTTAACTAATAATAGGTTTTAGATAATAGATAGATATCAGATCACACACAATAGATAGAATCATAGACTTGCGGAGTTTTAAAACCAAAAACCTTACAATCATAGTTCCATAAAATGAAAAGATTATAAAATCAAAATACCATAAAACTATGAAAACATAAAATCACAAAATCGAAATAAATTAAAATCATAAAAGCTGTCTTTGATTCGCTGGAGAGGGACGCTTGAGCAAATGCTCAAACCAACGGGCTGCACTTGTGGTGCAACCCTCCGCTAACATGTCTTCTGACGCACACACAATATTGTCAGGTTTCTTTCTTACTAGAGAACTATTTTTTTTTTACCTTAAAAAGCGTTGCTGTAACCCCTTAATTTGGTTTTATATAAATTGTCATAATTGTCACTCGGATTTCAACTCGTCTCTTCATCCTGATCACTTTTATATACGAGTAACCCTATATCTAATTCGATTAGTTTTAGGTGACACAAGCCACCGTTAGCTGAACAAAACTATTATACTCTGTAGCAACAGATTGCGAGAGTATAAAAAAGAAATTTGTATTTTCATTTGTCATTTGAACCATTCACAATAGTAAAAGTGAGCTAAAATAAGCAAAATAAAACTTGGCAGTTAGAAGTTATGCCACTTTAATGAGGTATTCGCATACTCTCTTGCTTCACTTCAACTCGATAACTTTTTTGTTGCTTTTACATGTAAATTTTTGGAAAAGAGAGCAAAAGCGAGTAGAGAAATGACCAATCGAAGACAGCTCAAATCGTCTTATCAAGAATTCATAAAGCTATAGAGTAACAAATTCATAAAATCTAAAATCAAGTCAACAAAGCATGCAATCATAAAATCGTTAAACCATAAAATCACTTAACATTTTTGATAAGAAATAGGCATTCAACGGTTGCGTCTGGGCAGCTCGTTAAGGTATATACCAATCTCAACAATCAATATTTAATGTGACCTCTCCTAACCGAAATAAGAATCCGTACAAAATCGGTCAACAATGAAGCCCATGTTAACATAAATACTTCCCAACACATGTTATTCTATCACTTACAAATCGTCAAATGTAAAGACGCATGCTTCTGCATTCGTAAAATTGTATGCGAATATGATTTGTGTGGATGAGATTGTGTAAGTTATGCAAATAGTCATTCATGCACAAAGCACTTGAAATAGCTGAAATAGAGAACTATTTACACATAGGAGTGTGTATCTAGATGCATTTGAAAGCACACTGCTGTACCAATGTATATTCCAAATATCTGTGTCAATGTATCAGGGGCAAACACCTGCTGTAACATATGCTTGACAGCATCGCACCCCAAAGACATACCAACTTGGTGATCTAGTCAACTTTAAAGAGTTTTGAGTCCGCTTTAATCCAGCGATTTCAATTGCACTACGACAGTTATTCATCATCGACAATATGTGCAGCCTTCTCCTCCGCCGTTGCTGTCACATTGAAGTCGTCTAAGTAAAGTCATCAAAAACGCATTTTCCCTTCCAAAAGTTTTCAGCCCTTCTTACCCGCATTAACAGCTATAACTGTACATATGTGTTGCACGTTCACATGGAGCCTGCAAAATATACACGCTGTCAATACGTCATTGCAGCTCCAGCTCCCGCTATACAGGCTGTCACTGAAGCCGCAGCTGTTGAAAGCGTAATTGAGACGTGTTGCCATATTCTGTGATGTGGAAGCATTTTGTACACAACATCACCGCTTTTCGCTGTATGCAGCAGCTACTTTCTTGCGTGCCACATTATACTTGAAGCGTTAAAACCGCTGTCTTCGTAAGGTTTTGCAAGGCGCAGAGGGCGACAAGCGCAGATATAATAAGATAACCACGCACGTTCGACATCGTGGAAAATTATTATTCTTGCTGCGGCAATTTGACGAGCAGCAGCGAGCGCATGTAGCGCGAACGCACAGATAATGGCGCTGCAATGTGTTTACCAATCTGAAACACATTGCCGAGTAAGCGCGTCTGCCGTTGATGTACCAGTGCAGAACTACAGAAGCTGCCGCGCGCCTAACTTCATCCATGACACTGAGTAAGCGAAAGGTTAGGTGACTGTGAGTAACTGTAATTAGCAGCTTGGCGCTCAAGCGAATGCATGTATTTATTTCCTCTTACAAGTATATATGTACAAACGTATACATATGCACTTATACGCAAACTTGGTCTCGGCATAAAGTTTTCGAAATCGCTTCCTTACTTAGGCACCGCTTGCAGCGCCGCTGGAAAGGCTTGCCAAACGATAGTCGCGCTGTTTGTGCCACTTAACGCAAATCCTATGCGCTGCTTTTTTTGTTTGTGCGTTTGCCATTAACGGAACTTGAGTTATTAATGTTTGCATGTGCGTGGAGGTTGCTCGGTATGAACGCTCAAAGAGAAGAACCTTGATAAGGCACGTTTCGATTATGCTTAGCGCCTTCACAGGTTTCACTGGATATTGTTGAGTGAAAATAATAGAAAACAACTCTTGCATTTAAAGTTCTGAACACAAAATTGTAGACAATATAGTCTTAAAAGGTTTCGGGTGGCGATTGGATTTATTAGATAAAGAATACCGCTACTTAAAAAATCTTTGTTATCCCTGTAGCAATAGGGGTCCTGATTCTGAAGCCCTAACCATTGAATGCTTTGACTACCCCTCGCTAGATGTAGCGATATCCCCTGATGTATCGTGTACTCTGAGGCAGGGCCGGATATTTCACCTCAAAAGACATAATCTGTCTATAATAACCAATTATTGACTATTTTTGACTTCCGCATAAAGTATTAAATCCTATCTAAATTTGTTTGGTGCTTCTCAAAACGTGTCACAAAATGCTAAGGAAAAGTACCTTTCAACAACCCTGCAATTGTCTCAACTTTAAATATTCCTGTAAGGTACTTACCGGCGTCGAATAAGGATGCGCAGTCAACCGTATGCCATCGGCCTCCAAATGTCGCTTCATAACAGCCTCCAGCTCCTTCATAGTCGTCGGCGCATCACAATCGGTTGCTAAAATCTCATTGCTACTGCTCAGCGCCTTCGGATCATTGATCATCACATAAACAATGGCTGCGCCCTTCTCGCGCAACGATCGTACACTCTTCAGCAGTTTGTTCCGATGATGCGTCACGTCCACACCGATTGCGTCCAAATCAATCTCACCAATTTGTTTACAGATCTCCAGTTCATCGTATCCGTTCTCCATAAAACTCTCGGCATACTGCTGCATGCCTATGGCGCGCAACCACTCGCAAACGATGTTATTGTGTGGCATATTAGCGTTTTCGTATCACGTGGCCGTTAGCGCGCAACTGCTGCTAGTAGCGGACGTATTCGTCGGCGGGAAGGTGATGTCGAGCGGTGCAAAACTTACCTTCGGCGTTTTTATTGCAGGTTTCGTTTTAGTTGATTTCGTTGTTGTTGTGGATGTTGAAGCAGCCGATACCAATGCCGATGCAGTCGGTGCGGTGGGTGTGCTGAGCTGTAAGCACGCGGCCGAAGTGTTGCCGCTGCTGCTGCTGGCGTTGTACGAAGTGGCTGTTGAAGTGGAGCTAGCGCTGGACGCAACAGAGTGGCTGTAACTGAGATTAGTTGTTGCCTTCATAGCATCTGTGTTCGTGCGTTGTTGGCAGGTGGGGCAGGAAAAGTCGAATGCTATTTCAGAGCGGGCATAAAAAGCTGCAAGTAGAAAATATATTTTAATAATCTGCATAATTATCGCTGAGAAGCTGCAAAGAACAAGATAAACTGAATCATTGCAATAATTATGTTATTTGTTATGATTTTATGATTTAAAAAATATTAATATATAAGTAGTAAGGTTGCGAATTTGCAAATTCTTATCCGAACGAATAGCGGCCCCACTTCTGCAAATTCTTCCCTACTTATTAAATTTATAGTATTTTTTTTTCATGGTTTTTAAGTTTTTGAATTTAAACCGTCATTTCAACTCGACTGTCAAAGTCAAAATGGGTCAAGCACTTCTCTATTTTTCGGAAACATCCTACAGGCTTGTGTCGTAAACATAAACGACAGCTCTCTGAGAATTTCACCTTAAATTATATTATATTTTCAATGCTCCCTCTTTCATTACAAAATAGAATTTATTGTTGTTGATATCCTTTCAACGTCAATTACAATTAAATGGACACATTCAAACCGAATGCTAATGAATAGTTGGCAAATTTTGTGAAAACTTTCTTAATTTCCTTTTATGAATTGTTTGCTTGTGGCAAATGCCAACATACGCATATTGGATATGGAAATGCAAATCTACTAACGAAAGAAGCTAAAAGTGTTTTGACATCGGTCCATTTGAATAACTGACACACCTATATAAATATGTATGTCTATAAATGTAATGAAATGCAAATTAGGGTAGTTTCTAAATGTGGGAATAAAAGTTTTACTTCAGATTAATCTCAACTTATCTCACATGTAAATACCAAATAAATATAGGAGTATTAATAATAATATGAACAGACTAACTAAGATTATACAAGTATATTTTCATCCTGCACAGCCTAAAAAAAGGGATTTTTAAAATTAAAAAAAAAAAAACTACAGCGCCGATTTTTATATATTAATTAATATATATATCAAAAATATGCAATATATTTTTTGATGAGAAAATATAAATTTTTTTTTGAGTTACACGCGAACTCCGACGACGCTAAAAACGGCTGTGCAATGATTATGGCCTTCCCTGGAGATGAAACCCAAAAAACTCGCTGGATATTATCCGTAAATACGGTCGAAAAAAAATCAAAAATTGACAAACAGGCATTATAAAAAAGTATTGAGTTTGGCAATATTCGATTGTTTACTATATTAAAAAAATAGTCATTGTATGGAGAGTGATCATTTGTCTCCCAGTAATCACAGATAATTCGATTTTTAAATTCAACACCATGTGTGCCCCTAAACTTATAACACTTTTTTTTGGTATACCTCCAATATATGTAGTCGAACCTGTCACAGTCCTCATCACAGCTAAAATTTAAAGATCTGTGATTCTTCTATCAAAGTGCATCAATTATATATTATATGAAATATATACGAGGTGTGTTCAAAGAAAAAGGTGAATTTTGATTTTTTTTTAAGTACTTAGTTAATCATCAATATATATTTTGTTACCTTCAAAGTAATCCCCCTCGTATATAATACACTTACGCTAACGCTTTTTCCAATCCTCGAAGCACTTCTAAAATGCACTGTTCGATATGGCCATCAGCTCCTTCTTCGATTCTGACTTGATCACATCAATTGTGGTAAAACGCTTTCCTTTCATTGGTTTCTTCAGTTTGGGAAATAAGAAAAAGTCGCAGAGAGCCAAATCTGGTGAATACGGTGGTTGAGGTATGATTACGGTTTTATTTTTGGACAAAAAAGCGATACTAATGCGACATTGCTTTTGCTCAAAATTAAGCAATTTCTGAACAAACTTCGCTGCCACACGTTTCATGCCCAAAACATTCGAGCAAATTGAATGGCATGAGCTGATTGATATTGTATATCAACATCCTCTGCAACTTCCCTAAGAGTGATTCGACGATTTTCAAGAACAATTTTTTTCACTGTTTCGATGTTTTCTTCGCTTGTTGACGTGGTCGCACCTTCAGGATGCACATCGTCATCAACATCTTCTCGGCCTTCTGTAAACACGTTTTTGAGTCAAAGTGGACTAACCGAATGTCACAGTCAACATTTCAAGTGCCTTGGAGCACTTTATTCCATTTTTAATACAAAAGTTAATACATATTCTTTGATGAATTTTTTTCAAAAGTAAAAAATCGAAAAGCACATAAAAACGTGACCAACATTTCTGTTGTCAAAAACAAACTACTAATCGAATAATCGAACCGATTATAACAAAAACAAAATATCGATAATCAAATGTACATAGCTCGCGAAAAATCAAAATTCACCTTTTCCATTGGACATACCTCGTATATAAATATATATTTTGTACCTTCCTTAAAGCATATCACATTTGAATGTAAATTTAGCACCCTTAGCATTCGTAGGACTAATTTTAGGACTACGAAATCCCTTGAAATTTATTTTTAAGGACCCCCCTATTGCACTAAGATTCACAATACTTAATTTTTTAGAGAAAATGCCATACAAACAAGTGTTCGTGTGATTTTATAAACTCACTACAGTTGTAGGGAGCCACATGCCACAACACACTCAAACACACACATACGCTGGCATTTATGAGTACTTTAAGACTGCATTGTCTTGTTTAATTTAAATGCAAATTGTTTTTTGTTTGGAATATCCGACAAGTGGTTGCACTATATCAATATTCAACAGCAATTACAAAGCTGTTACTTATCCTTTTCGATACTTAAGTATAATCTTCGCCTTAATAAAATACTTCATCGCTTCTATAGCTTTTGTGGAAAATGGATAAATAAATGTTTTAAAATTGCTGAAAACTGTTTGAGACATTTTCTTTCTTGCGAATTAAAAGCAAAATCCTTGTAGACAGCAGCAAATTCCAGGCTTACCACACATTGACACAAACTTTGCTTGTTTGCCAAGTAACGGTAAAGAAATGAAGTGAAACAAAGTAATAAAATTAAGTCAAATTTTTAGATATTTTGTCATATTATGATTAGAAGGAATATTGTCGTAATATAACCAAAGGAAAATTTATGTAGCATAAAAACTTGATAACAATTTTACTGATTCCATTTTTCTATATTTGAGTTTTTTAACACTTTCGAAAATAAATTGAAAGTATTTGCCTTTATCCTTCTGTATTTAATTCGAAATTAAATATTATGCGGGAACAATGGCTGCGGTTTAATAAAAAACCTATGGATACGGTATGACAAATTACAAATGATATTAAGTAACTCATACACCGTGTTCTTCCTAAAACAAGTAAAAAAAATTATTTGAAACTTCAAGATGTCAAGCATGGGCTTCTTTCCTTTTCCGATTGGCTTGCTTTCTCCATATTAGCCCGATTTTCACCATGATTTAATGACTTTATAACTATAAATCCACACTAAGTCACAATATATCAATGGCGGTGTCTTTAACCGTCGGCCAGTGGTTTTACGTTCTCTCAATATTTAAATAGAAATAAACCAATGAACCTGCCATCAAAAGCAAAGTTAACGATTTGGTCAACAACACTCCGATTAATTGACAAAAATTCTATTAAAGGAGAATATTCTTTCAGCAATTCTCTTCCACTAAGGCACAATTTATGCTTTATTTACAATACAGAATTCTTAAAAAAGTAAATTCGTAGCATTATTATTCTCTTGTGTACAGTTATACAAATATGGCTCGCCTTTAACTTCTTTTTAACTTTCTTTTGGTCATCCAAGTGGGCATTTAAGACGATTCGTGGCGTCAAACGAAGTGTCACTGCAAAAGGATTATGTCAAACGGCAATCTAAAGACCATTAGTGGTAAGGTCAGTAAACACAAGGTACCCTGTCATATAGGTGTAGAAGAAAATGAAAATGCAGACGGGTTAAATAGATTTGACGCAGCCGGAATTCCAACCCCTATGAGCCGACCTAAGCCGTTTAGCTCCTTCAAAAGCTAATTGAAACAAGGGATGTTAGAGGAACACCTCAAGTCTTGGAACATGACCAATACAGAGTGTAACACGAGATAACTCTAGAAGTGGGTAGATGATGGTCAAAGCCAATGTCTCATACATTTATGAAAGACATTTGTAATTGAGTAATAGATAAAGGTCATTACACTCGCCACTGAGATGTCACCTTCAAATCTTGATCAAGCGAAATCGTCGAAATGCAGAGCTTTATCAGTGGCTAGGTTTTCAACGGTTAAAATATCTCAAACTTCCAAAGATTAAAATTAATATTTCAAAAAAGAAGTTAGGTCCCAACTCTATAAATTTTGATTTCTTTAGGACTAAAATAATATGACATGGTTATATAAACATGACTTTACCATGCTAAATCTGAAAGGGCCTTTGACAAGCTTCAAAATTTTTAACAACATCTGTCTAGAAGATCACATATTACCTTTTAGACCTTATAAGTTTATGGAAATGTAAGCTGGCGCATTAATAACTAAAATGTCGTGTAAAATCAGTTCTTGCCTTGGCTTGGTACACAAATTTAGTATGTTAACATATTGTGAGCTGCCGCCTCCGTTATCACTTCGCTGACCCTATAAGTACAGATGGTATTTTTTTTTGCATTGGCAGATTAATTTATTATCAGAACTCGAGGGCTAATAGACATTTGGTGCATTCTAGCAGCAATATGTTGAAAATATTTAGATTCGAGCGGATCCGGCCTTAATTATAAAAGATATGTACAAAGCTCTCTTGCTACAGTGGCAGGCGGAGCATTTACATATATGAGCCGAGTATCTATATATACCTATATATATATATATATATATCTGTGCATTTGCGTGTGTTCCTTACTGTGTTCTATAGTGTATTTGTAGTAATTAATATTTAATGCAAACAGAATAGCAACAAATTTGAAATCACAACAAAACAACAAAATTTATAATATATAATTGAGAAAAAAGAACAAAAAAATCAAAAACAATTGTCACATAATTTACTGTCTAGACAGGCGAAATTTTGTATTTTCAATTAAGTCCATTATTTTTGTTTGGGAGATTGCACTTTATAGTGGCAATCTGACGGCAGCAGCAGCGGCAACAGCAACAGCAACTAACATATAAGCAATAACAACAACAAACGCAAAGTTTGTATGAATGTAGCTATAATAGCTGGAGGAGTTGCAAATGTATAAACAATACTAACAAAAAGCGTTAACAACAAAAACGTTGTGCGCAGCATGGTGTTGGTGGGGGTGGTGGTGTGAAAGGATTGCCGTTGGATAACTGTCGTGCATGCATTTATATAAATATATATGTATGTATGCGCATAGGCCGAGCAGGCTATAAGTATGTTGCATGTTGCATGCGGCAAACAGCATTCGTAATCGGCTTGCAGCCAGTTTAGTTGCTAGCAGCAAGAGATTGTAGACATCTTCAGCATACACAGCGAATATGCCAGTCTGAGGAGCTGACATTGTGGTATGCGCCATGCGGCTGCCGAATGCAACTTGGAAGCCCAAAAGTGTGGAATTGCAAGGCCACCAAGCCAAATACAACAAACATGCCAAATATGTACACATACATACAAGTATATAGTATTAAGTATACATATATAAATATGTATATTTGCAAAAGTAGACGACAAGCCTTAAGTATGCAGCAAGTGTGCAATATGCGGGCCACTTGCAACCCCAACACCAGACAGTTGTCATGTGGCAAACGCAGCAAATGTATGGCAGACGGCTTTGCCTGCGTCGAGCTGTCAAAGCGCACTGCATTTTGTTTTACAAGTAACGGCAAAGTGCGACAACTGCCGACGGCATACAGGCTGGCGTTGTGGCACCACACCAGCTGTGCAACAACAAAAGCCGTCGGAGCGGTGACAAAGCCGGCACACAAACTCACATAGCCTACATATATCCACAAGTAAATAAGTATGTACACACGCACTTACACACACACTTACACATAGATAAACGCGTTCTTTTATAACATGCTGTTCAATCGCAGCGTTGCACTGCTCACGGCCAAGGTTGCCGCTCAGCCGCATAATGACGTTGGCTGAAATAATGAGCGCAACAACAATGCCAATAAGGTTGATAATGACGATTGCAACAGTGAAGGTGATGTGCACATTTGCTGCTGTTCGTGAAATTAAACCGGCCACACTGACGGCACACACACACATACGCAGACATGTGGATGATACGTCAGCCGCTTTGCTATCGGCAGCTCGGGTTGTGGCAATGCCAATGTCATTGCAAGACAGCGGCTGGAAGTTCAACATTGACAGACATTTCGAGGTTAGCAGCGAAGCCCTACAATGCTATTCGATTGCGACTTGCTTGAATGCAACAAAGTTGCAAAACTGCGTAGTGCACAATGAGACAATGGCCGTAAGAAGCTTGGAGTCGCTGCACCTTTGTGCATGCGTATTTCGTTGCCATAATTTCCTGGTGAATTTCGATTAATGAAGCATTTTGTATTTCACATAATTTAGACATTTTTAAGCGCAATTAATTTGTAGGGGAAAAAAGTGCGAATTCAGGAGTATTGCTTATTCGCATTTGAGTACATGGAAACCCACACAAAAATACTAGCTTTGAGCTTTCATAAAAATAATCACGTGAATGTCGTTTGAAAACTCGAACTTTCCGTTTGCATAATTATAATTAATTTTTAAATTTTTCTCTTTAGAAATGATCGTACGTCACTGGTAAACAATTTAGCTCCATGTAGGCTTCTGGTATACCATATGTGTGACGAAATGTTGGAACAAACTTCTAAATAACTTATGTAGAATGAAATTTCACCATAACTAGATGACCAGTGGTAAAGAAACACAACCGCTGCCAATGTACTGTAGCTTCCTAGTTATTTCCCGCTCTAAAGTTGTTGTACTTAAACAGAAAATAATCGATTTATATCCGACGAAGTTCTGCCATTGCAGCGGCTTTCGCCAAAATTATAACGGAACAACAACAATTTATTTATTATTACATTTATTCTAGATACCTAAGCTCCATATGAAAAAGAGTTATACATATAGGGCACAATTTTAAAATATGATAGACCCTTCCTGAGCGGTTTTCGCGTAGCGCTTAGGCGAGTATAACATATGTATGTACTAAAATATGTTGTTTTAAAACAGTAATATCCTCTGCTTCAGCAAAATGAGCTTTCACATGTGGAATAACAGAGCTTTTTGCATTGTACACATACACAATAGATCGTGCTTAATCGACTTTAATGTGAGCAGTAGATTATCAACCAATCAGAGAGCAGACTACAGAATAATTGTTTATCTACCATAGCAAGGCGTGGGATAGCCCATATTTGTATATTCACCAAAAAAATTATATTGTGATATTCAAGCTTATGAAAGTTCAACTGTAGCTAAATATTAAATAAAAACAAGAAAACACTTTAACTTTGCAATACCCTTCACAAATAAAAAAAAATTCCATGCAAGAACTTTATTTGATCAGTATGGCAGCTATAGTAGTCCGATCTTAACAATTTGCACAGAAATTGTAGCGTTGCCTTGGCCAATAATTTGTGTCAAATGTCGTGAAGATATCTTGTCAAATAAAAAATTGTTCCTTACAAGAACTTGATTGAACGTTCCGTGTGTATGGCAGCTATATAATCTAACGGTTCGATATCGGCGGTTCCGATAAATGACCAGCTTTATTAGAAGAAAAGTATGTGTGCAATGTTTCAGATCGATATCTCAAACACTGAGAAACTAGTGCGAAAATATATTATATACAGACAGACGGATATTGCTAAATCGACTCAGCTAGTCACGTTGATCATTTATATATGCATAACATATACTACGATGTCTCCATCTGGGTGTTACAAATTTCGTGGCAAACTTATTGTACCATGTGCAGGGTATAATTATCGAAGAATTATCTATATGACTGGAATGGAATATATTTTGAAATTTTTTTCAAAATACACATTTCATATATCGCTATCACAGCGCTTTAATAATAATATAAATAATTAGAAGTCGGCAACTTTTGTAACATACTGTTTGCCAAAGCACCAACTTAAAAAATTGGCCATTTGACAGGTTTAAAATTTATTATGTGTATAAAATTTTACAAGATGCGTTCTTCATGTTGAAGTAAATTTTTGATTTGGTGCATAATAAAAATTTCAAAGATATACTGTAAAATTTTGTAAACAAATGTGTTTCAAATGCCTCTGGAGCCACTGTACATAATAAGTCAAACATCACGTCAACTTTTTTAATGCGGTCGTCACGATATCTCAACTTCTGAAATTTGAAACTATCTCTCTATCGTATAAACAAAAAAAAACTGAAAATTTCTAATTTATAAGACTTTTAAAAAATTCAAGACTATTGAAAAAAATGTGAAAAAATCGACCTTTTAGTAACTGCCATTTTGTGAAAAATAAATTAAGTTTTGTTTGTTCAGATGATAATGACAATTGCTCATATTAAGAAACTGCCATTGCCAAATGATCACACGGCTAGAATTCGTAACTACGAGAACGCGACTTTTTTTCCTCCTCTATTTTAAGGACGCTGAACTTAATGAAAACTTATTTATTATTATTTTTTTATAATTTAAAATATCATTGGCAAGAAACGCTCGCAATTCGGGCATCTAGACTAGAATATAACTCACCTTAGACAACAATGAACGAATCCAAGTAATATCAGAGCGAATCCAATTGGCAATATTTGTGAGTAAATACTTGAGTTGAAATATGCTACCAAGGCTACCGCAACAACGAAGTTCGTAGTATTCGAAAATTAATTTACCGGAATGAATTCTCGTTACAACACAAAATAACATAAACTACAACGGCAGAACAACAAAAGCTAACACTAGCATAAACGACAACCGTTATATGCGTAACTAAGCCATAAATTTGCGTTGTGCTTACCACTGTTTGTTGTTTTTATTGTTATTATTACATATGTCACTGAACGATTAAAGCCGTAACCGTTATTCTGATTGTTGTTGTTGTTTAGTTTAGGTTTTACAAACAAAACGATGTGGTACAGTGTCTACACTATGGCAGCAACACGAAAAATGGGCACAACTTAATGGCGATGGCGAGGAGGGGAAGGAGCAACAACACGTGCACGCACTTACACATGTAAACGGATTTCAGAAACGCAGTGGAAAGGCACGGGCGGCAAGTACAACAAGCGCAGCCACAATCAGCGCTGAAGGCGGCGCGAAATGTCAGCGAGCAGGTGATTAACACGTTTGATTTACAATTGAGTTGCACGCCTAGAGACAATTTGGGCGCCGCTAAACCGCACACGCAATAAATTCGTGTTGATTGGTGCACCAACACACACAAGCAGATTGCAAACGGACATGTGTACACGCGCCTTAAAGTCTTAACGCGATTTACCGTAGCGGAAACGGCAGCGCGGATGCGACGAAAGGTAGCAAAAAAGGCGCGAAAATGGCGATGTGGAACGACGCGAATAATTACAGTTATTGTTGCAGCCCACGAAAAGTGTTCGACCAAACGATACGCAAGAAATGTCACAGTCGATATTTTAACTGTAGTGTTTAGTATGGAGGATTGTGCTCGCGTATGTTTGCAGATATTTTGTAGAAGCCGTTTTGTTTGTAAACACTTCTTTTTTCGCTTGACCTTTCTTTGGTTTGTTGTTTTTTTTTTATGCCTTTTAGGCCATTTTTTTTTAGCTTTTTGCTAAACAAAGCTTTCGATTCACTTAGTTCACTTTGTTTTGGAGCTTTCACTAAGGCTTCACTGGTGTTAATTTTTTAAAGTATTTTATATACGCGTGTATTTTATTTTCAGATTTATTAAGTTACTTATATTTTTTTGCTTGTCACGTAAATTTATCAATCAGATTTTTATTTTCGGTTTATCAAATACTAAATTCTACGAATTCTTCGAACAAAACTTTGATTCGTGTATAGTTTTCTTTTAATTTTCACAGTATCTCAAATAACAATTTTCTGAAAGAAGATTTAAGAAATTTTCTGTAAACAAGGAATTTTCGATGTGGACTTAATAAAAAACCTTTCCAACCGCGAAAAAAAAATGTAAAATCACCTTAATAGCAATTTTGTTTTTGGATAGACATATCGGCTTCGTTTAACAACACTATTAAGTCAACTTCCGCTGCACCGAAGCTATAAAACCGTTCACAGATACATTTCTTTATCATACAAGGGTAAGCTATTTTTATCTTAATTTTGCTAGGTCAGTTTGGTTGGCAGCTATATCCTATAGTGATGAGATCAGAATAATATGTTCGGGAATTGTAGCGTGTCGTGTCCTGATCATTTCAGTGCCAAATTTTGTGAAGATATCTGATCTAATAAAAAACCTTTCAATACAATGACTTGACTTTAATAGTTTGTATTGCAGATACATTCGCATGCAACAGTGATCCGATATCGCCGGTTTTGACAAATGAGGAACCAGTTCGTGTATATACAGACAGTCTGACAGACATGGCTGAATCGACTCAGCTTGTCACTCTGATCATTTATATATATACCATATACGCCTTCTTTCTGACTGTTAAAAACTTCGTGCAAAACTTAATGTACTCTGTTTAGGGTATAGGGCACCACGTTTTAGTTACTGATTATATTTTTTTTAACCCTAACTCTGCCATCAACTTTACTTTTCATTAGATACCTTTGGATTTTACAGAAAATAATTAATTATCTCTGGCAAATGGATTTTCGAAAAATAATAATCTCGGTAATACATTGTAATTTAAGATAACAGCACTAAATTGAAATTAATTTGTCTTTTAGATTCAGACATTTTTAGGTATCTATCCGAGCCTTAGTCAAGACCTTATAACGAAAGAAGTGCCCAAAGTAGCCCCAACATTGAAATAACATGATAATAACGTGAGTAGTTATATTTGGCAAGTATCAGGCTTTCCAATAAGCATGATGTGATTTCTAAATGTCGTTTCGGCCATTTTTAATATGTCATGATCTCAAATTTTGTTTAGTGTATTCAGTAATGTTTACAATTTCATCGAGGAAAGATGTACGCAAGAATAACGTTTACAAACTATTTAATTTTATTATCAAAATAATCGTTCTCCAATTCCAACTTTTCGTGCGCTTTTGCCATTTTATGGTCGTTATGGTTGTGGGGAGTGGTGCGGTAAATAAACAAAACTGTCGATTCTGTCGCGCAGAAAATTCCCAAGTTATTCATGAACAACCATTACATATACCTAAATTGACAGTTTGGTGTGGTTTTTGATCTGGTGGAATCATCGGTTCGTACTTTTTTCGAAATGAAGCTGGTGACACTGTTACTGTCAATGGAGAGCGGTATAGCTCGATGACAACCAACTTTTTATGGTCGCAATTAGAAGAAGTTGATCTTGACAACATTTGGTTCCAACAAAATGGAGCTACGTGCCACATAGCACGTGCAACAACAGAATTATTGCGAAAAAAGTTTGGAGATTCGATAATTTCAAGAAATTGTGACAATGAACGGCCACCAAGAAATTGTGATTTAACACCATTAGACTACTTCTTGTAGGGTTATTTGAAGTGATTGGTCTTTAGCAATAAACCAGACTCTCTTCAAGCTTTAGAAGTCAATATTGAACGAGCTATTCAAGTCATACGACTTGATTTAGCAGAAAAAGTACTCGAAACACATTTCCCTTATCAGTAATCCGCAAAAATTGCGGCTACCCTAGGTACTGCAATGATCAGAGCACCTCAAAAACAAGTGTTAAAGAAATTTTATGGTTCCATGTTCCTGAAAGTGTGCAAAAACCTGGTGGGTCGACTTTTAAATTTAAAAAACACTATTTGCCACAATTTTTTTGATTCCAAAAGAAATATTCCAATGATCTTTGAATAAACAACAAACATACAAAACCAAATAAATTGTATTTTAAAATTTCAGCGTACTTTAAAGCTGTTGTGCTGAACAATTTCAAACATCCAACTGTAAATATATAAACAACTTGCATCTTTAGTCCAACGTCATCAGATTGTCTATTTCACTTTATTTCTTACACTTTTACGGCAACCACCGGCACAAATGAGCACAACAAAAAACTCAAATTCACTGAAGAAAAAAATGACGCTGATTATCATCCTTTTTTCAGCGAAGAGCTCAACAAGCGCCACAAATGAATGCAACACTCTATTAATAACAACAAAACGAGCACCGCTGCAAACGACACCGCTTCACATGACAAACACGTTGTGAAGGGGCCGCGTTGTAGCGTCTCTGGACACCAGCAATCGCGTGCTCGCAAAGCACGGATATAAATCAAAACCCAGAGACAATTTGATTGCAGCTTTTTTGGACATTTGGCGTGTGGCAATCAGCATGTGCCAACACAAACCCACATCGCATACATACACAAGCAAAACAGCAACAAAATCAAATCACGCGCCGAAAGCAAAAAAAGCACAAAAAAGCACAATCAATAAAACTATAAGGCGCGCGCCGCAAAACACGAACTAAAATCAAATTGCTATTTTGAATGCCAACTCAGCTGCGAATATATGCGGTACGAGCTGTGGCAGTGTGGCTGTTGATGAGAACGATGAAGATGCACGATGACGAGTATATGAAAAAAATGCAACCAAAGTATGCGAAGCACGCCGGCAAACTGTGCGGCATGCCGGCTGGCTGGCTGGCGCGGAGCCTGAAAGCTGGGGACTGCATGTCTGCCACAACGCCAGCGTCAGCGCCGGGGACAGCGCTCCGACCGCCATGAGCGCAGCGTGAGCGGCATGAAAATGCATGCAACGCGCCTACGTTAAAACAAATGTGACGCGCCGCACACTAATACATGCATGCACGCATTACCTGAGCACACCACCCACACACATACAATGATGGCAAGCAATTACTAGTAGGCACCAGCAATTTTTAAAAGGTGGCAATACTGCGTGCGCACTTGTTCGTAGCACGTTGTAAGTGATACCACAACAACGACAACCGGAACGGCAACGTGAGCGGGTGCGGCTCACGAACAGCAACAACATATTGGCACACACTTACCGCTTTGCTGACAAAATGCACCAAAACAAATAGTATACGCCGCAGAAAAGGGGTTGAGTGCAATGAATGAAAGGCGAACGTCCAGAAAGTCGTGCGGCAACGGTGGGGCGCGAGGCAGCCTGCGCGCTCTGGAAATGGGCTCATGCAACTTGCACGTAGAGTGCATTCTCATCAATGTGCGTGTGTATGTGGGTGGCTGCTATACACATATACAACACTTATATTACACACACACATACACTCAGCTATACATCTTTACAAATACAAATAAGTACGTATATTACTGCCATTAAGGAGACCACAACAACAAGAACGGCTTCACCTCGGCGCAACCAGCAACGGCTGTGGCGGCGACAGCGACGCCGGCGACGACGTCATTGAAACATGAATGACTTGTGAAGCAAATGAAGTGCTTGGCTGGCAAATAAAAACAAAACAAAACGCTCATAAAAAGAAACAAAAACACCGGCCGACCGGCAAGCAAATAAAAATTAAACCAAAAGCAAAACAAAAGCAAAAACAACAAGTGCAGCTGCAAAGTAGAAGGAGCGGCAGCCGTAACGGCGATGCCGGTGAAAAAGTGAGTGCTTGGCAGAAATATTAAATGCAATGTGAATCACTTGTGAACAAAGCACCCTACACATGGCAGGCGAACGGCGCCACTCGAATTACTCAACATTTTCGTATTCAACGAGGTATGCACAGTGCTGCATACAAGTGGCAACAATGCGAACGGCTCAAAGTTGAGCTCAAAATGAAAGGCGAAAAATTTTAAATTTAGAAAAGTGGAGATTGAGCTCACAAATGGATGCTTTCTAGCGTTCCAACAAAGTTTACCACAGTGGAGTCATTCATAAAAAAGATTGTTTGGGAAATCCTTAAAATTGGAGCTTAATCATAAACTTTTATAAAGACTACAATATGGTTATAGATTTGAAGGTAAAATATATTTTTTCTTAAATAAAAACCAACTATAGATATAGCGTGGTTCATGAAGCTGTATGTACTTGTGTATTCCTTATAAAGATTCCGTGAAAGCTTTATGAAAGCTACCCTATTAACAAGAGAGAAAAGGTAAATTCTTAAAATTTGTACATAGTCATACAAATTTACAAGAGTGAAAATGTAACTTAAGTATTCCTAATAATGTATCCTCGAAAGCTTTATGAAAGCTACTTTAATGGCAAATGATTTTTTAAAGTTTGAGATAGTAAATTCACCTTATTTTCTAACAAATTAACTGAGTCGCCTCGTCAGGATTGGTTAATAACTTGTCCTCTAGTGGCAGTCAAATATTGAAAGTAATCTTGATATTTGGATCGCATTTGTGTTTGACACGAAATTTGGAGCATTAAAACGAGTGCTAAATGATAGTTTTTTTTTTCTTTTAGGTGTGGGACTCTGCTAAATTTTTAGCTAAGACACAGGGAGAAAAATATGTATAACCAACAATCCCTAGGTCTTATTATATTCAAAAAGCATAATCAAAGTAGAAGCGTACTAAAAGAAATAGAATCTTAATAAACATATTGTATTTAAAAAAATGTTAGCAATTACGGTATATAATAATAGGGTGCATTAAAGTACTATAAGCCGCTAATACACATATACTTAAATAATATGTCATATACTAGTCTCTCCTAGTGGTGTGTAGAATGAAAATAAACGAGAAATGTTCAAAGAAACAAAAAACAACAACTCGCTTTGCCTACCAGAACATCAACAGCAACATCACACTTATGCAACAACACCATTACTAAAGCCAACAGCTACACCAACCAACATCACAACAGCCTCTCCGTCAACCACAGCAACAACACTGAAGCATAAACTGGCTGACGCGAACAGCTGATTCAAAGCCTATGACACATATGAGGATGTGATGACAACAACGCAGGCCACAGCAACAACAACAAGCAGATTATAAACGCTACATATACTGGCG